CTACATCATTACCTTTGTTACCGATTGTTCTGTTTTTTCACAAATTTGTTCCGAATTTGTGATCGTAAAAAAATTATTTTTTCTGTCCCGTAACCACATGGTCTGTGATAGCTCTGGTAAAGTATTCAATTTGCCTTCTTTATACGCCAAAAGTTGACTAAATATATAGAATAGACAACAACGAAAATCCGACGTTTCTATCGCTTTTCACTACCAAGTAATTCCCACTTTACTGAAGTTATGTGAGGTTTGCCTGAAAATTTAAAAAACAGAACAATCGGTAACAAAGGTAATGATGTAGCTGAGTAGAGCGAAGAAAATACTATAAGAAAGCGAAAAAAAAAATATTGCTCCACATAAAATAACAGAGAAAATAACGTTTACAAAACCAAACGTATTTGAATCACCAGAAAAACATGTTTCTTCACCACAACTTCATCTTTTCTCCTGAGATACCGGATGTTGTTTCACCAGATATTCATCTTTTCTCCAGACAAGCTGGATATCTCTTCACGAGAACTTCACCTTTTCTCCCGAGAAACCGGATGTTCTTCCACGAGAAATTTCTGTGGAGAAACTGCATGCTTTTTCACGACAAATCCATCTTTTCTCCTCGGAAACTGGATGGTTCTTCACAAGAACTTTTCTCGTGGAAAAACATCCAGTTTCTGCATCCAGAAATTTGACTTTATTCGCGCGTGGTATGTTAAAGTTACAGAAGAAAGAGAAAAAAATATTTTTTTTCTGCGTAGAAAAGATGAAGCTCTCATGACGAGACATCCAGCTTCTCCGGAGAAAAGAAAAAATTCTCACGAATAAACATCCAGTTGCTCCACAGATAAGCTCAATTTCTCGTGGAAAAACATGTAGTTTCCTGAAAGAAAATATGAAGTTCTCGTGAAGAGACACTCAGATTCATTCATAGCATTTTGTCTTTTGTAAACTTTGAACCGAATAAACTTTGAAGTAATCGCAAACAATAGACAGTGCCTTAAGAATTCGATATCACATTGAACTTTTATCACCTTTCTCATCGTTCTGTCCACATATCTCAGCACAGTTAATACAGATCGTTCGTATTTAGAACTGATGAACTCAAATACATTGATAGTTTTTTGTCGTTTTAAGTTTTTCAGGAAATATAATATATTAAATACAATTGAAAACACGTTAAGTCAAGGCATTTTACAATTTTTGCGAGCTTTGGATACTAATCTGCTATCATCAGCAGGCAAATAACTGGAAGTGAAATGGGAAAAGAGAGATAAGTTATATATACGAAAACTTGACTAGGCAACTTTAATTAGAAAAGAGATGATTAGAAAATAATCGTCTTTAAAGATATGTCATTGTAGGCCAATTCTCTGTGTATATCTATTAAAAGTGTTTTTATCTGTCGTTTTATTTCGTTTCTTTCATAAGCCATAACTATCGGTTCTTTCAAATTCAATGTTTGATTATTATGTGTGGCATGTACAGCTATTTTTGCATCCATATCTTGTGGTGCAATTTTCCTTTTATTCTGTTCCATTCTTAACGTTACTTCATTACTTGTTTGTCCTACATAAACTTTTGCGCAATCATTACAACTAATACTATACACTACTCCAACTTTCCGCCAATCTTTCCCTTTATATTTCTGTGAGAGTGAATTATGTTTTCCGATTGTTTTATGTTTTCTAAATCCGAAACGAATATTACGTATACCAACTTTGTGTAACAGTTGTTTGAGACCAGAGATGAATTTACGTGATTCGTTTCCTAGATAATAAAAGGAAAATGTTTGCATCAATTTTAGTCTCCAGGCTGGTATGCATTAGAGACTTTTTTTGACTATCTCTCTCCGTGTTCTTTTTCATTGTTAGTTCAATTATATTCTCTATAAGAGGTTTTGGATATCCGTTCTCATTCAAGACTTGTTTTAGCCATGCTAACTCGATATCTAATAATTGTTGAGATACTAGTTCGATCAATTCATTTTCACGCTATGTGCTGTAATATCGTCGAGCAGTATTGAAACAATTTGAAATCAACATTCGTGAACATCTGGATAATCGTACCATTTTGTTTTAATTCAAACCTGAGAAAAAAATGTTTACTCTCATTAACAAATTAAACGAAAATGTGTATACATAGGTATGCACCAGTTAAAAACTGGTGTTGGGGCATCCGGGAGAATTGCTACACATCAGTTACCAAGATTCGCTCATAGCTGCGGAACGTTCATTTTGTAGAAAAATGTTTGCTCTACAAAATACATTTGTTAAAAAAGTTCCAAAATCATTTTTAAGGAAACTTAGAACATTTTAAAATGCACCAATTCACGAAAACAAAACTGTTCGAACAGTTTTTTTCCGTAATTTAATGTATTTTTGAGTGCTCTAAGTTTCCTTAAAAATGATTTTGGAACTTTTTTAACAAATGTATTTTGTAGAGCAAACATTTTTCTACAAAATGAACGTTCCGCAGCTATGAGCGAATCTTGATAACTGATGTATAGTGATTCTCCCGGATGCCCCAACACAAGATTTTAACTGGTGCATGTCTATGTATACAGTATATCAGGTGTACAGAATTAAATGAGCCTCTTTGTACTTTTCGTTTTCCTTCTCTTGTTTCGGCTTCGTTAATTTAATTTTTATGCCAAAATATCCCCAATTCAATGCTCTACAAAATGATATATGGCTAATCAGATCGACACTCTAAGTCTGGGCTCAAAAAAATCAAAAACGGCAAGGACCGAAACTCTAAAAGGTTACTATTAAACATTGCAAATTTACTCATGTCCGGAAAAAAAAGTGGTAAGATGTAGCCTTGAAAAGTTCTATCAATAGCGCTTGATGAGAGTTTTTTTGCATATTTCTTTCGTTCTGGTATCCCACCGACAGTTTGTAAAAAAAGAAGAAAAGAGGAGTTTTTTGGGCGAAAAATGCTAACAAATATCCTCGCAAGTGTAGAAGCATGTAACGATGGCATAACGGGTTATGCATAAGTTTTGCAACAAATGTAGAGCACTGTTTCTCTATGTTCCTACTATTCTGGAGACTTCACTTTCTTTTTGTTTGAAAGAGCATAGTCTGAATTACAAAACGTGTATCAAATAAAAGTTTCTCTCACCAGAGTTCATTGAGAAACAATTCAAAAACTATATATTGACCTCACGCATGAGAGATCAACATACAAAGATCGTAGTGAAAATTAATAAAAATAGAAATACTTGTTCCTTCATCGTTAATTCAACATGCACTCTGACTGGGAAGAACACCAGTTTACTTGGTAGAATTAAAAATTAAATCTATCGCATAATCACTGTAAGGAGCGACGGCGCTTTTTCTTTTTGAAGATAAATTTCCCAAATATAATTATCAAATTCGGACTTTCAAATGTAATTATCGTTTTCGCGCTTGCAATGAAATAGAAGTGTTCATACCCAATTCACGTGATTATACAGACGGATAAATGGCTTGCCATACTAGTACGGTGTTCCTTAAACAAACAATGGACTTGAGTCGCTCAATGGAAAAATTAAACAAAACTACACATTCAGAATTAAAGTGGCACTATGAGTATTTTTACCCATGATCAAGCAAATGCTTGTGGAGTGATGTCAAAAGCCAGCACATAGCCACTGTCTAATAACTAGAGGGTGGACCGTTACCCGTCACTGTTACAGTAACGAATTTGCATTACCGTTACTGTAACGGGTAATGGTTAAATCAAATGAATAACTTTCAAGTTTGCTTTACAATTCTTACTTAAAATGTTAACTGCGAGCATTATTCTTACGTATAATTCATAACTCATTTAATACTATCAACACAAACAAATCTCGTTTTTGTTCAACAAAAGCATATTTTTCAAAGTCGAATTATAGGGTGATAGTAAAGTACCACGAGAGCCTCTAAACACTCGTTTTACAGGGTTTCGTACGTACTCTTTCTAATGGCATGATTTTCAAAATTCAAAAGTGAGTTTGTACAGGTTTTCCAGAAATTCGGTCTTTAGAAAACTAGTACAAATATACTTTGAAGTTTGAAAACCACGTCATTGAACAGAACACATGCGAAAACCTATGAAAAGAGTGTTTAGAGGCGTTCATACTACTTTTCCAGCACATGTCCGTGTGCCAAGTCAACATGATCTACTGTGTTTTATAGTCAAAATACAGTCAAACCGTTATCCGTTAAAATAACGGTAACGCTTGAATCGTTACCGGTTACTAGTAACGGTAATGCAAATTCGTTACCGTAACAGTAACAGGTAACGGTCCACCCTCTAGTTATTAGACAGTGGCTAATCAAGCGAGATTCCAAGCTTTGGATAAACGACAGCGAAGAGAACGACCAAAACAAATTCACAGAGTTAAAAACTCTTCTTTTTTTTAAAAGTAAGAAAACAGAACCCAAATGAGCTTATATAAATGTAAGAAAGCACACACACAAATACACGAAAAAATGAGTAATAACGTAATTTAAAGTCGTCGAATATGCATGAAAACTCATTACATTCTTGATGTATCTGTTGTTGCCGCAGGAATATATTGTACACGTCGTTTACGCATAAAGCAAAAAAGTAACGTACCAGCTAAGAGAAGAAAAACTGTACTTGCTGCAATAATCAGTATTGGGATCCATATCATTCTTCGACCTCGTCTATCTGAGTAATTGTCTCTATAAACATCCTCTCGTCCTCCTGTGTAGTGACCTTGTTCATCACAATCATTTAATTCAGTTAACAGACGTTCAATTTCTTTTAATTTATTCGTACGACGAAAAGATGATCGGATTTCTTCGTCTTCTTTTAATTCATTTAATGTTTGTTGAATATTTCGAATTATTTTCTGGTTTGATGTTGCTTCAATATGAGCAATTACGAATAATACGAAAACAGTGACTACGAAGAACGCTTTCATAATGTAAGTTTGATCGAATAATAATACAACAACCTTCGTTATGTGGTATGAATGATTTAAACAGACGAAATTTACTCTTTTTTCGATCTTTCTTGTTGTGTAACGACAAAAAAAGTCAATAAAAGCTCTAGCCATTAAAAAGAATGAGACTGATTCTCATTATTCTATTCTCTTTCGCATTCTTTTTCTGTATTTATGACTCACTTTTGCGTTACAAGCAAAAGGAAATCTATGAAATCTTTTCCTTATAACGCAAAATGAGTCATACAAAGAGAAAAAGAATGCGAAGAGAATAGACTTCGTACTACTTTTTGTATGTATCACTTCAGAGACGAACTAATACCATATTAACCTCTCTGTGTATCTCCCACGCAAGAGGAGCATATATGATGTGGGTAAGAAGATCTGTTGAACAGACACTCAACACAAAAAATTGTTTTAAAAAGACAGAGCCCAACATCGAGTCTGTTGCGATCTATTTGTATCTGGTGCTCCTCGTTTCTTTTAGATTTCGTAAATTAATTTACTATGTTTGCGGTACCCAACGATGTCGATGAATCGAGCAGCAGTGTCAGCCGGATGATTGCCCGCATATCGAATACCGATAGTCATGACAATTCAATCGATATGACAGGTTCAACAGCCACTGCTGACAGTAGCCGCAATGAGCAATCATCAACATGGATTGATTCATTTACTCGGCTCGATCAAGACTTTTCGGGTAGTCTGCTTTATTTATGCTATCGTCTCATTGACATAACTCTTCTCTCGCTTGGCCTCTACCATGACACAGCCAAGTGTGGCATCTCCAATGTTCTTATCATCACATCGATTTGTCTATTAATTTTCAATACCATCGATCTTGCCATTGTTCTCTTGTTTCTTGCACGCAATTGGTCATCGCACAATGTGACTTTGTCCAACGAAGAAAAACTGAAACGATTTCAAACAGCAACTCGTCTGTGTTTTCTCGCTTTCAAAATTGTACCGATCTACGTCGGTACCGTTTCCACATTATCTGTACCGATAAATACGGACTGCGACTTGTTCGCTTTTGTCTCGGTATAGTGTTTTCTAGTACATGGGTTCTCATGTGGATCTTTGCATCGGCCAAACCTGCATTGCCCGTACGACGATCATTGATTGTAGAATGTTGCATTCTTCTCTTAACCATTATTATCGCTAGTTTTTACTTTAGCATGGTGGCATCTGTCATGACTAAAACTCAAGATCCAGTGTGCACATATACCAGCATCGAAGCTCTCTATTTACGTGCTCCACTCAAATCGTATGCTTACGTGGGGCTTATTCTATTCGGTTATACGGGCTGTGTGTTTTGTGTACTCAATTTCTTCGTCAATCGACTCTTTTTTCGCCCGTCTAGCTGGCGAACGGCTTTCGTCCATTATTTTGCTCTGAACTATGTACTGGACTATTTTCTCATTGTCGCTGTTGTATATTATCTTTCTGTTGAAGCTGTACTTCTCTTTCGACCTCGTTCAGGTGGATCTTGCCGTTTGGTGGCACCCAATTTATACAAAACTCTCTTGGTATGGGAACGGATTCGCCTTCTTACACCACTTATTATCTTGCCGCTTGTTAGGTTCTCGGATGAACTAAGATCTTTCTCACCTGACGTTTATTTACAAATAAAAAAGATATATCTGAACAATAAAATTGATTTATTTATATAGGAAATCTTGCGCGATAGTCTTAAGTAGACTCTGCGCAATAACCTTGAATATATTCTTGCACCATAGCATTGAGTATTCTTGCGCAATGACCTTGTCCATAGTCTTGTATATATTCTTGCACAATAACCTAGACTATATGCTTGAGTATGATAACCTTGAGTATGATCTTCTGACTTACGTCACGACTCTAGTACGTGACGTCTAGTATGTTATACTTATCTCAAAGTGAAATGTGGTACTGTGACGGGACATTCTACGTTTGCCCATCAATATTTTATCAGATTTATTCTATCCATGGGTATAATGATGATGGTATTATGGCACCTTACGTA